GGGAAGGGCACTTTAGAGAAAAGTTTCACACTCCTCCCGGGCGGGAATGGGTAACTATCTATCCATAGAGAGAGAAACATCTGATCAGCATGTTGGTACAAAATGGTGGCTTGTACTGTATACTTCCCAGGAAGTTGAGATTGTTTCACAATGCTATCAGGTCTACTGAGGTAATAATATACATGTACATCGTATTGTAAAACATAGAGCTTGCCGTTGACTCGTAATTTGTGCCTACAACAAATACTATTTATTATCATGTTCCCGTCAATGTTATCTGACCGCCCCCAAAAGTTCTTTTACCTATGAAATCTATACATGGTATATACTACCATTTTTCTTCAACGTGGGTTATCTGTTGACACCGGGGACACCAAAAAACCCAAAATATGAAAACACAAATATAAAAAAATCAAAGAAGTGGCAAAAGCATATATTCGGAAAACTGAAATTGGACTGATCCTATTCCTTTGCAAGGATTAATATCTGAAATGTTCAAAGTTAAGTCTTCCACAGCACTGACTCAGCCTTTCCCACTTTATAAATATAACACAGTACTGGTAATTTCAACCAGTACTTGAAAGCAAGTGCAAAAATTAAGTAGCTTGATGGACTTCCTTTACTTCTATGGAAGATAAAAACATGAGAAAAAACAAAAAACAAAAAAAAACTAGTGCAATACATGGCAAAAAACTATATGAGAAAAAATCAATAACTCCCCCTTAAAAAAAACAACAACTCTAATAAACAAATCCAGTAAAAAAAAAAAAAAAGGTGACTTCCCTACCTTCAAAGTATTGGCACAATAACTTAAAAGAGTCAACTGTAGATTGTTTTGACCTTTCTCTTGTCAATATCTTGTTCATGAGATATTTTTTGATTCACAAAGCTACCACTACCAGTACCAAACCTCCCGTTTTGAACTTGCTCCATCAAGATATTGCCCACGAGACATTTTTGATTAATTTATAGGCTACCAAACAAAATATATATTAAGGCTATAAAACAATAAGTTATTTTCAGTGCCAACACACTACAGATTACTAGCATTAGTGTTTAGCAATAAGGCTTTTACTGTAGCACACTCAAGACACGAGTTCGATTCCTATCCGAGGAAGTTTATTTTTCTTAATCAAATATCTCTGTCTGTCTATCATAATCATCAGCTGGGCTTCCCCACCCCATTCAGCGCGGGTTGGCCCTGACAGGCAGAGTTCATGAATGTCTATCATAATCATCAGCTGGGCTACCCCACCCCGTTCAGCGCGGGTTGGCCCTGACAGGCAGAGTTCATGAATGTCTATCATAATCATCAGCTGGGCTTCCCCACCCCGTTCAGCGCGGGTTGGCCCTGACAGGCAGAGTTCATGAATGTCTATCATAATCATCAGCTGGGCTTCCCCACCCCGTTCAGTGCGGGTTGGCTCTGACAGGCAGAGTTCATGAATGTCTATCATAATCATCAGCTGGGCTTCCCCACCCCGTTCAGCGCGGGTTGGCCCTGACAGGCAGAGTTCATGAATGTCTATCATAATCATCAGCTGGGCTACCCCACCCCGTTCAGCGCGGGTTGGCCCTGACAGGCAGAGTTCATGAATGTCTATCATAATCATCAGCTGGGCTTCCCCACCCCGTTCAGCGCGGGTTGGCCCTGACAGGCAGAGTTCATGAATGTCTATCATAATCATCAGCTGGGCTTCCCCACCCCGTTCAGCGCGGGTTGGCCCTGACAGGCAGAGTTCATGAATGTCTATCATAATCATCAGCTGGGCTTCCCCACCCCGTTCAGCGCGGGTTGACCCTGACAGGCAGAGTTCACGAACTTCAGCCCACCTACTACACTTTGCCGTCTCATCTCGCCGATCGGTGATTTTTACAACCCAGTCCCTTTGGATTTCCCCCAAAATGCCTTTGCTTTTGAAGGCAAAAGTTTTTACTATATGAGCCTTGTGATGGCAAAGTGTTAATAGTATCAGAACAAAAATCATTCTTTTCTAATGTAGGGATTTTTATGCCCCTTTCGACACAGTTTAGATCATTCAGGGCCAATTGGCCTGTGCTGAGACTACTGAGAGGGTTACAACATCCCAGCAAAAAGACCGCGGAACTCGGTAAAAATTTCTCTCCACTGAGGAATCGAACTCTCAAGTTTCTTGCATGCGAAAGCAAAGCGCATTATTGCTACACCACAGTTATAGCAATCAGTGTCAGTGGGGTGTAAAACATTGAGAATAATTGCAGCAGCTTGTCGCCTTCCTGCCCAATTAAATCATAGATAAACAAACACTAGAATCTACTCTGCAAGTGTTCAGTATGCTTCACTTCAAGCAATATTGTAAATCACTTTGATCTCTCAAATCTCTGTAACTCAGTCTAGGGATATAATGTCCTCTTTCAAGAGGCTTTTGATTTTGCAGAGGCTGTAATGTATCTTTCAAAGATGTACAAGTTGTTCATTAAAGTGTAACATACCTTTTAAAGATTTAGAAGTTAAAGTACAATGTAATCTGTTTATTCAACTTGCTGCACCTTATTTTTCATCGACGACAGAGGTAATAAAAAAAGTATTTTCAGAACTGTGCAAATTCTTGTGAAACAGATTAACCAGTTGGTGTAGCACTCCATCATACGCTATTTTTCACAACAGCGTATGGCGGAGTCTCACCATGCAGTCGAGACACAGTGACAGCCATAAGCTCACGTGGACTCTAAAACTGAAATAATCAGGCAAAGCGTGCTGTGGACTCTAAAAGTGAAATAATCAGGCAAAGCGTGTTTAATTATTTCTCCCCCAGAGCTGGAATCAACTTCATTATCTCGGACCGGTCAGCATCACCATCTCTTTTTGGTCAATTTTTCGGCTACACAAACTAGACAAATTTCTAACTTTATGCTATAAAAACTGATAGAAACAAGGAGGCATCCTACTTTATTAGATAAATATATTTCTTCTACTGCAGTAAGATTAAGAAGTAAAACTAAAAACAGAACAACATCAACCATTTATGTCCACCAAACTGCCTTGAAATACATGTACCACTAGTACATACGTTTACTAAGCTTAAGTCAATATGGATTATCTACTATAGATTGTCAGCCAGCTGTACAGAGGCACTAAGCACAAAATTGTAAAAATTTTGAAAATTGCAGTTTTGCAATCAGCGGTGCTCGAGAAATATCTTGTCTCGAAATTCAAATTCTAAATGTTGAAAAAAGCCCCCCCCCCCCCTACACAATGTAGGTATAATAATTAAAAGGGTAATGAAACAGTTTGTTTTTATTTCTCTCTCCTGAAAAATTTTGTTTTTTTGGGCTTAGAGCAGTTGAACAGCTTGCTGGCCATGATGCTTTCAGTCCGGTTCACTACCTGGAAATACTAAGGGTGGGCACTAGTCGATACAGGCCAATATCGAGTACTTTATTGATTAAGAAAGCCCAATATTGCAAGTACTTTATAAACTAAGAAAGCCCAATATCGATAAATACTTTATGAACTAAGAAAGCTCATACTCGGTACTTACTACGAGTCAACAAGGGGGATGCAACAAAAGTTTCTTACTGTAATAATGTCAATTACTCTTGACCACAAGAAAAAAGGCCATGAAATGCAATAGTTGGCCTGCATGCATAAGCCTGAGCTGTATATCTATTGCTGGTTTTTGCTTTTTCTTTTCTTTTTTGTTATTTTGAAACTTTTTTTTCTGTTTTTGTATCGGCTTTTGTTTGTCTTTGGTAGGGGTGGGGGCTTCATTATTTTCTTTTTCTTTTCAATTTTACTTCCACTATGAAAATCAGTTGCATGTATTTATATAATTAGATTTTCTGTCAGCAGCATATTCATCGCTTTTTCGTAAAAAAAATAAAAAATTCCCATATTTCAAAACATGAGTATCGATTAGTGTCAACTAAGTGACAAAAATAAGTACTAATGAAAGGAGTCGTTCTCAACAAGTACCGAGTACCGGTATCGATTATCGCCCACCACTACGAAATACTACAAACATTTACTAAGTCTAAGTCAAACTGGAACACATGTATAGATATATAATATACTCCCAAAAATATTTCTCTTAAAGATCACAGGATGGGTAAAAAAAAAAAAAAGACTTAGAAATTTCACTCCACAGTTCCAAGGAAAGCTTTCAAAGCTGCAAGAGCAAGAAGCAGTGCGCATATATATCAACATTTAGAATAACCCCCTATATTAAAGGAAAAAAAAAAAGCCCCTATATGATAATAACACATTTTGAACCTCAGTGAAATTCGTTTCAATTTCACCCCCCCCTGGGAGTCCTGACAGGGGACAGAGAAATACACTATTAAAATTGGTCGCTTTTAAGGACAAGGGGGCTAACCAAGATTTAGGGGGTTTTCAGAAATCTAGACCAACACAAAAAATGGGCATTGCCCTACCTATAGGAGAAGTTCGGTTTCATTGATGTGTATATTTGTTTGGTTATAGAGAAAACTGCCCTCGCTTTTTAATGAAACTAAACAAGGGGCAGAAACTTTACCTTCGATTTTCTCAAAACAGCATTTTTCGGGATAGCCCCCTTGTTCTTAAAAGCGACCAATTGAGTCTGGCAGAAACTCAAACTGCATTTTCACTTGAGAAAATAATACTCTGTTATTGTGTCTAATAGAAAGTTTAACTTCCACTTACAAAAAAAAATAATACTTTTAACCTTGTCCAACAGAAACAGTCTTCCACACAGACAGGCACACTGACAAGGATACCCAGCTTGTACAAACAAAGAACAAAGATGAGAAGAAAGAAGATAAATAGTTGAACCAGACAAAGACAAAAGTAGATGATCTTACAGGTATGAGACATAAAAGATGAGGAAGGAAGAAAAAAAACAAAGAAATGCACCGAAAAAAAAAATGATAAAGAACTGTTGTGAGAGAACCAAAATTTACACACTACAAAGAATGCCCTAAAAATGTTCTCCTTTTGATAGACAGAGAAGGAAGGACCTACTAACATCGAGACAACTTACTATTCGCTCACACAAACAATTCCACATTCTCCTCAGAACAGTCTTCATCCTCCCCTCCTATCACGGTAGAACCTTCCACAACGTGGATCGTTCCGTCTGCGTCGGTTTCCGCTCTCAGATCATTTTCTTCCTCAGCTTGTCCGTTCTCCTCTTGGGAGACTATATTTTCATTTGCCACATCCAGACAGATTTGTATGTCCACTTCCACGTCAATATCAGCTGATCCTTCTCTTGATTTGACACTAGAAATGACCATCCTCGTACTGCTGTTGCCCACACAATCCTCATCGGGCGATACAAGAGTCTCGTCACCGGCATCCACAATACCATCATCATCTCCTGCCTGATAACCTTCCTCAATCACCTCACATTCCTCCGTCTCATCGTCCTGGAAATCGTTAAGTTTATCCTGAAAGTCGCCCCCACTGTCGACGACACTTGAGCGAGAGTCCTCTTCCTGGTTGCCACGGCAGCCGTCTTCTGCAACTCCGCTGCCTTCCTCATCTTCCGGAGACACGCCCACTCCCCCGCCTGACAAATGGCGCGTGCGCTCCAGGAAACCTTCCAGGTAGCTAAGCCTCGGCGGCAAAGACATACGCGCCCAGTTCCCGCGCCGCAGGGCGCCGGTGTTCATGGGCTCGTAGTCTGGCTCCTCAGGGTCGCCACTGGTGTCACAAGCTATGCTTTGTTCATTGAAGTCCAGGGTGAGGAACTCCACCTGTAGGAGGAGAGAAAACGAAAAACTTCAGACATCTCCAATCCAAAAAATAAAGAAAATAAATCAAAGCCTTCCCTTAGCACATATTCCCGCTCAATTAACTCAATAGCAAGTTCTACGGACTTTTATTATCTACATGTGTCACAAAACACTCGAATCAAGCTTTCAATTTAATTTTTGGGCACCATGTGGCATATGGAGTTGTTGGTATGTTGGGGACAGATCAGTCAGTCAGACAGTTGTGGAACAGACGTCTATTTGGTTTCACAGCTGATCTTTGACAGAAATTTGTCTTTACATGGACGTTACTGTATGACTCATGCTATATGGCACACTTGTATAATTTTCTTTTATTCTCCTTTTGAAAGGCTGACAGTTCTGAAAGATGGGATCAAGAAAGAATCTTACTCATAGACCATAAAAGACAAATTCCATTGAAAACGGATTGGGTGGGGCAAAAACAGTGGAATGGACATCGTTAATCTTCCAACTGAAATTTGAAAAAGAAAGCAGAAGTTAAACTGGGGAAAAATAAATAAGAGTGAAAGGAAATAGATGACAACGGTTCTGATACCTGATCATCATCCAGCATGGGTCCTGTACTGGCAATACTCTCTGTGTCGGAGCTGTTCTCTGAGGGAACTTTGAGCAGGGCAGCCTTGTGCCCACTTGAGGCCGACAGAGAATCGCTGCGACCTGTCAAGGAGAATCTGTCTGCTGATGGAGACGGAGGGGTGGGGGACTTCAGCGGGTGCCGGAAGCCGATGGACGTGGAGAAATGACCCGGGGAGTTGGGCGCACGAGAGGGGGAGGGCTGGGTGGTGGGGGGCTGGGCCAGGGGAGACAGCTTCTGTCTGGAAGTGGAAGGGAGGCGGTAGGACGTGCTCAGTGTAGACGGGGCCGTCTTCGAGTCGTAGGAGGAAATACGAGAGGTGGTGGAGTTTTTGAGTTTGGTGATCAGGGAGGTAGGAGGTTTTGGGCAGGAGGTTGGGATGGAGGAGGAGGAGGAGAGGGGTGCTACGGACGCGGGTGGATAACCTACAAGAGCAGCAGGATTTCTCTGAGGATAAGACAAGGAGCAGGAATCCTGAGACAGCTGTTGGTGAGAAGAGGAGGAGGGAGCCGGCCCTGCCTGCTTTTCTGTGAAGACACCTAGGGAAGGGTGCTGCGTGGAGATGACCACTTTTGGTTTTTGGGCTGGGTCTAAATGAGGAGGCCCAGATGGGGCTGGTTTGTCGCAGACCGTGGCCGCCACGTGAGAGGAAGAGGGGGCTGGGGAGGAGGAAGAAGAGAATCCACCGGCATCCACTCGCAAGATTAGCCCTTGTAGCTTTGGCGACTTGCGGTGTAAGGAAGGGGAACCTCCTGATAGCGGCGAGCTGCGTTCTGGAGTGCTTCCCTGGGAGGGGAGGTGGGGGGAAGCCAGCTGTACTTTGTCGCCGGGCATTGAGGAAATGGAGATGTTCACAGGGGATGTGCGTTGCTGGGGAGAGACAGATGACGAGGATGAGGTCAGCACCACCTGGGTGGGGACACCTGGGGCCGGCGTCCCGTCACAGCCCACAGCGCCCCGCATCAGTTCCGCAGAGATGGTCGCCGACAAGTCCATGTCTATCGGTGACTCCACAGTCATCCCAGGGCTGGAAGAGGAGCCGATGAGACTTTTGGACTTGACAAACCTTCGCTGCTGTGGTATCGGTGACTTGTTCACCCACTCCTGAGCTCTACTTAAGCTGGTCTCGCCGCTCAGTTCAAAGTCACCGTGGGGTGAACCCTTAGAAGAACTTAACAGAGTCGATGCTACGTCTGGGCCTTGCTGACAGGAAGCAGCAGCTGCGGAGAATCTTGACGGAAGTGACGTTGATACAAATTCTGGGTTTGGTGTCTGAGTGAGCGTGCTGTCTGCGTCTGTGCGCTGTAAACCTTTCCCACTACTGTCATCATGAGACAGTGTGAAACTTCCAGCCTGTTCCGCCTCTTGTGAGGCATCGATGGCTGACTGATAACTTGGGCGTCTCGTACGATCTGTATGAATGATGGACGGAGGCTGGAAGCTGGAAGACGTCTCGCCGGGTGGGCTCTTCGAAGCTGGGACGTCAGGGGTTGAGGTCTTAAATAAAACTACGTTGAGCGGGTCAGAACGGAAGTGGCCGCCAGACAGGTCTGAAACAGATGTTCTCTTGCGGTACGGCAACTCATGGCGCACAATACCCTTGCCTTCGCTTCTGAAACACGAAAAAGAAAGTAGGCAATCAATCAAGCCATAAACAAAACCTGTTTTTATAATTCCACTTAAAAACAAGCTAGCTAATACTAAAGAAAAGGTGGTGACGTCGACAGACATGAAACCTGTTCTTATAAATCCATTACAAAACAAGCTAGCTATGACAAAAGTAAAAGTCGTGATGAAAACATAAGTGAAGCCTTGTTTTTACAAATCATTTTAAAACAAGCCACCTGATGTACACAAAGGTGGAACCTGTTTGAATAAATCACGAGAGTTTAATTTACTCAGTATTTCCGTCTTTCTCCTTGGATGTTGTATCAAATTCAATCTGGACTGGGCTCGACAGGTAGGGTCAAAGTAGCCCGCCTTCTAAATAATTTAAATTATGTTAATGAGGTTGTACAACATTTTCAGTTATTATTACAAGCAACATCACATACATCCTATAATCCAGCCTATTCGTTATATATGTGAGGCAGCGTGGTGGAATCAGGCTCTTGTCAATTTTTGGGCATGTACAGTTATTAATATCATCTTAAAGCTTATTCACTTGTATTTATTTGGATGAAAACAATATACATTTATCTTGAATACAAGTCGAGATATTTGAAAAAGAAGGAGGTGGGGGTCACCTGTTTTCAGAGGTAAAATTAGTGAGAAAATGGCTGCCAAAGATTAGTTACTTACTTAGCTTAAGAGTCCGTGGTAACTGAAAATTTACATTTTTGTGCCTTTCATCAATGCTTTTCAGAAAAATCCACACAGAAATGAGTTCTTTAATGGGCATGAAAGGTGTTGAGCCAAAAAACAAAAATTTGATAAAAATTCACAAACCTGCGGAAAAATGAATGTTTCTTTCACTTTGATTATTTTGACAAGAGCCTGATTCCACCACGCTGCCTCACATATATATTTTTTTATAGTAGAGGGTTTTACGGCGCTCACAACTGCATAAGGTCATATGAGCGCCAAGGGGTGGGTGTGGGAGCGAACGACCAGCCTGCAAGATGGTGCTCCCGCCAGCTGTTGCCGAGGGACGTCAGTTTTCCAACCGACAAACCGAGACGACAGCTGCAGAACACGTCGACCCACCTAGAACACCAGGACTTCAACAACCCATATTTTACCACTAAGGCATAGAGCTGATGCCTTGACTGCCATCTCATTCGAAAAGTCCATGCGTCTGCCTGCAACGAACCAACGCAGAGCCTCCGCAACAAAATCAGTGCCCACACGGACAGGCAAGTCGAAGGGGTGGGTGTCAACAGAGAAGTCTTTACAGGGAATCAGACTTAGACTGCTCACCTCTCTAGCTTCAACAGCACAAGGCCTGCTTCGACTATCAAGGCACCCCAGAAATAGCAGGTCACAAGAGAGTGACAAACATACAAAAGAAGTAGAGGAATATGACAATAGTGAGGATCAGGAAAGAAAAAGCAGCAGTTCCCTGTTGTAGATCAGGCACAGTTATGAGCGTGACATGAATCAGCCCATTTACAATTCTACAATGCTTGAACGAGAAATGTCCCCCCTTTGGGAATGGCCTAAAGACACTAGAGTCAGTGGCACTGCCCCGGGGGATAGCCTATTCATTAGACTAGCTCTCATATCCTAACCTGTGTAGAAACACATAGTATAGTGCAAGACATCCCACATACCAACTGCTTAGTGTAAGACTCCGCCATATGCCATTTTGAAAAGTGATGTATGACAGTCTTCTTTAGTTTTAGCTTTCATAAAAGTTTTACGGCACTTGCAACACAATAAGGTTATATAAGGGCCGAAAATTAGAGGGGTTACAAAAGAGTAACAAACACAAAAAAGAAGGAGAAGAAATAAAGACGATAGATGTTTGATAAGACTGTAGAAGAAAGCCACACCAGAACATCCGCCAACCACCCACTGACAGTCTTCCACTGAGCAGTCGATAGGCCTACAGACACACACAGTGGACGACATCCTACATACAGAGACACACTATGGATGACATCCTACATACAGAGACACACTGTGGATGACATCCTACAAGAGAGACACATGACATCCCACATACAGAGGCACACAGTACAAGACATCCTGCATACAGAAACACACTATGGATGACATCCTACATACAGAGACACACTGTGGATGACATCCTACATACAGAGACACACAGAACAAGACATCCTACATACAGAGAAACACAGTACAAGACATCCTACATACAGAAACACAGTACAAGACATCCTACATAGGAGACACATAGAAAATGACATCCTACATACAGAGACACACTGTGGATGACATCCTACATAGAAATACACTGTGGATGACATCCCACATACAGAGACACATGCCATCCTACATACAGAGACACATAGAACAAGACATCCCACATATAGAGACACAGAGTGCATGACATCCTACATACAGAGACACACAGTACAAGACATCCTACATACAGAAACACAGTACAAGACATCCTACATAGGAGACACATAGAAAATGACATCCTACATACAGAGACACACTGTGGATGACATCCTACACAGAAATACACTGTGGATGACATCCCACATACAGAGACACATGCCATCCTACATACAGAGACACATAGAACAAGACATCCCACATATAGAGACACAGAGTGCATGACATCCTACATATAGAGACACACAGTACAAGACATCCTACATAAGAGACACACTGTGGATGACATCCCACATACAGAGACACACACAGAACAAGACATCCCACACACAGAGACACACACAGCAGAAGACATCCCACATAAAGACACATGTCTTTAGGCCATTCACAAAGGGGGGATATTAACATGTTTTTGTGCACAGTAGAGTTATAAATAGGCTGATTCATCAATGTCATACTCACACTGTGCCGGAACAACAAAGGTGGAACTGCAGCTTTTTTGTTTCCTCATCCTTACTATCGTCATTTTCACTCTACTTCTTTAGTATGTTCGTCACTCTATTGTGAACTGCTATTTCCGGGGTGCCTTGATAGTCAAAGCAGACTTTGTGCTGTTGAGGCTAGAGAGGTGAGCAGAGTAAACCAGAGTCCCCGTTTGGACTTCTCTGTTGACATCCACCCCTTGACGATCAAATGACCTTACGCAGTTGCGAGCGCCGTAAAACCTTCTTAAAACTAAAAAAACTAATGAAGACAGACACACAGTATAAAACATTCCACATGCAGAGACGCACACAGTAGTGCTGGGACGATACCACTATTTAGGAATCGATGCGATACGTGATACTTTTTCAAGGAATCGATTCGATACCGATACCCTAGTAGGCCCCAAGTCTTATTCCGTCTTGGGTAGGCCTACTTGAACTTGATCAATCCAAAAAAAAACTTATTTACCAATACACACCCAAAACCAACACATTAACCTGAGAATGAAAATGTTTTTTTTACCTAATAAACGCTTAACCTGGGAAGGATTATCCTTTTCAAAATGTTCCCACTCAATACTAGTCTTTCTTGATGCCATGTTGATTTATAGGCCAAGAGCGCGTTTCTTTTTTGAACCTGATGTTTCCATTGGACTTGAAAACAACAAAAGTATCATCCCTTGAATCAGTGAATTGCCTGGGAATAGCTAGTCCTCATGTATCGATCCTTTTCAAACGAATCGATTCGATACCGATACCAAGAAGGTCGATACCAAGAAGGTATCGGGGTATACCAAGAAGGTATCGGGGTATACCAAGAAGGTATCGGGGTATCGATGCATCGAATTGATTCCCGCCCAGCACTAACACACAGTGCAAGACATCCTTCATACCTGCTGTTCATTTCCATCCCTGTCCTCCCCCTGTCACTGGAGCCGACACTGCTATTGAGGGGGCCTTCACTGTCCTCCTCGCCACTGTCGTAGACACACATTTCCGCACTCCCGTCTATATTGGCGCCTGCGAAACAGAAAACATCACGTCCAGTCAAACCTGCTCTTGTTTTAGTAAGTGTTTTATGGCAGTTGCAACACAATAAAGTCATATTATAAGTGCCGAAGATTAGAGGTGTTACAAGAGAGTAACAAACACAAAAAAGAAGGAGGGGAGATAGAGACAATAGATGTTTGATAGGAAAGAAGAAGCAAACCACACTGGAGCACCTGCCAACCACCCACAAACCTGCTCTAATGACCACCTGCCCAAGACAATCACCCATACAAGGGGCCACTTCCCGCTTCTCCCTTTGTATTTCTCCCCCTTGACAATAGGTGGTGATCTTGGACAGGTTCTTCTACTGTATTTAAACAAACATTAAGTACAATGTGGTAACCCCTTTTCCAAGAAATGTACCAAATCAGTGGAGGGAGAGTGCATCATTAAGCTCTAGATCATATAGCATTACACCGACACTGAGTAAGATGGCCACCTGTCTAAGACAGCCCAGCACTTTACTCCTTGAACAATACGTGGCCATCTTACACTATTTTGACAGTTTTATTATTATTATTATCATTATTAATATTATTTTTATTATTATAGAGCTCAGAAGTCATTCTTGTGCGGGATAGAGCTCTATTTGTAAATACAATCTACTATTATCATTATTATTATTATTACTGTTATATAAATCCAAACTATTATTATTATCATTGCTATTTTATCATTATATAAATCCAATCTATTATTATTATTCTTATTATTTTTATAATTATTTTAATCCCTCCCTTGCACAGGCAACATAGAGCACCCGACCGACCTTTCTCCCACGTGTGTGGAGGCGAGGGGGCCTCTGCCCCGACCCCAGCACCTCTGACCCCCAGCTGCAGCTGCTGCTGTCGTTCCAGCCGCTGTCGGTGGATGTCGTCGCTGATGGCCTCCAGGCTGCGCAGGGCCTGAGAGTACAGGGCCTTGGCCGAGCCCACGTCGTCCTCCAGCCGACTGACGCTCCGTTTGTGATCCTGTAGGGAGGAGAGATGATGATGATGATGATGATGAAAAAGGAGAGGCAAGTCGTTTGTGAACCCGTAGAAAGGAACGATGATGGTGATGATGATGATGATACTGATGATGATGATGATGATGATGATGATAATGATGATGATGATGATGATGACGACGATATGATGAGAAAGGAAAGGCAAGTCATTTGTGATCCTGTAGAATGGAAAGAAGAAGATGACGATGATGATGATGATTTTTTTGTTTCCTTAATGGGCCTGACGGACTTCACGAAGAAATCTTCGAGCGAGAGCGAGGCTCTTTTTCGGCTCCATTGTCAATATGCTTAGTGGCACCTCCACTCGTCCAAATAACTCCATTCGAATTGTGATGATGATGATGATGATGATAAAGGGAAGGCAAGTTGTTTGTGATCCTGTAGAAAGGAAAGATGATGGTGATGGTGGTGATGATGATGATGATGATGATAATAAGAAAGGGAAGGCAAGTTGTTTGTGATCCTGTAGAAAGGAAAGATGATGGTGATGGTGGTGATGATGATGATGATGATGATAATAAGAAAGGGAAGGCAAGTTGTTTGTGATCCTGTAGAAAGGAAAGATGATGGTGATGGTGGTGATGATGATGATGATGATAATGAGAAAGGGAAGGCAAGTTGTTTGTGATCCTGTAGAAAGGAAAGATGATGGTGATGGTGATGGTGATGATGATGATGATAATGAGAAAGGGAAGGCAAGTTGTTTGTGATCCTGTAGAAAGGAAAGATGATGGTGATGATGAGAAAGGGAAGGCAAGTTGTTTGTGATCCTGTAGAAAGGAAAGATGATGGTGATGGTGGTGATGATGATGATGATGATAATGAGAAAGGGAAGGCAAGTTGTTTGTGATCCTGTAGAAAGGAAAGATGATGGTGATGGTGATGATGATGATGATAATGAGAAAGGGAAGGCAAGTCATTTGTGATCCTGTAGAAAGGAAAGATGATGACGATGATGATAATTATGATGGTAAGCCGCTCCCAGTGGCTTGTGTCGAAACTGCTGTGTCGGTGAGTCGCTCGGACACATTCATTTACGACATCGACATTTAATTATTTTTCGGCTTGAAAACTGGTCTCTTTTATCGGGATTACATTCATTGGATGAAGAATTATCAAAATAAGTTCACTTGTTTTGATTTAATGACCAATTTAGTGAAATGGGGAACATCAGATAATTTTTCTTTCTTTTTTTACAAAATAAAACTTTGACATCATTTCCTCAGTGTTGTCTTAAGTGGGGTGTGCTTTCTTCAAAACTAATTTGTTAAAAAGTATTTAAAAATAGAAAATTAAAAGTGTGAAACTCTGCAAAAGATACATATTATTCAGAAAACACAATTATATCAGAAAGACATTATTTGGATTAGTCTTTGGTTTTCCTATGCCACAATATTGAGACCTCAGTGCTTTCTTGTCATATCTCCATTTTTTAAATAGTGAAAACAGTTCATAACAAAGAGCGAGCTTAAAAAGAAGTCGTATTTTCGATGTAAAAAAAAAAATGGAGATAAGACAGGAAAGCACTGAGGTAGCGATATGTTTTTGATGGGATCTTTTTTTAGGGGGCAAATGAGGTAAAAACTTCCGACACCAGTATAAAGACTCAGACTTTACCTCCATGACTTGATTGAACTTTGCCTTCATTTCAAAGTACGGTCTGTAAACAGAGGAAGACAAGAAATGCAGATTAAATTAGAAGAAAGCATAATAGAAGATAACACACACAACTTCTAGATATTGTTTTGCTTGTTTCGGAAAAGGAGAGAGCACATGCATACGATAAGAGTCATTAAAATTTAGTGTGCAGGGAAAAAGCAAGACAGACAGACAGTAGACAGAAACAACAGAGGGGAAAGGAAAGAAAAAGAATCTTCCATTGGTGTCCAGCAAGCACCCAACAATAATGGCTGCCATGGAAAACACAAATAGAAGGATAATGGTACCAATAATGATAATAATGAAAATGATAATAATAATAATAATGACAAGTGTAGACGGTATAACTTTCTTATGTTCTCCCAAACAAGTTCACAGCCATTTTTTTCCTACTGGTTTATCGAGGATATTTTAGATGTATTTGCAACTTGTGCAGTTTGTTATAATTCTTGGTAAGAAGAAATATTCACAGTATTGTGAAAAACTCTCCTGAACGAAGGTTTTTGTCTTGTCTGTACAAACATGTAATGGGAACGATTTAGCACTGAAAGGTTGTTTTTGTTTTTTTTTAAAGAAAAAAAAAACCCACAGAAAAAAACCACACTCCCACAAAACAATTTTTGCAGACTCACTTGGACTTGGTGATCGCCCTCTTGAGGTCCTTCTGTAACTTTTGCACTTCCTCGTCTCGCTTTTTGAAGCTCACAGTTGTCTGCTGGTGACAGTCCTCACTTTCAATCCGTTCACGTTCTGCATCGTTCACCTGGAAACGATATTTAATAATAATAATAACAATAATGATTCTTATAATACAATAATAATTATAGTTTTCATACAAAAATAATGATAACAATTTATAAAAATAACGTTTCACAACGCTGTGGAATTAGCCTCTCGTCAATTTTTGGGCATGTAGAGTTATCGGACATCATCTTAAAGCTTGTTAATTTGTCTTGCTTTGGATGAAAACAATATTCATTTATCTTAAATAAAAGTCAAGATATTTGCGAAAGAAGAATGTGGGGGTAACCTGGTGTCAGAGGTAAAAATTATAGTGAGAAAATGGCAGCCAAATATTAATTATTTCCTTAGCTTGCAGTGGAAACTGAAAATTTACATTTTTTTGTGTCTTTAATCAACGTTTTTAAGTAAAAATCAACACAGAAAATATGTTTTCAATGGGCATGAAAAGTGTGGGGCCAAAAAACGAATATTCTATAAAAATTCACAAATCTTCGGAAAAATGTTAGTTTCTTCATTTCTTCACTTTGATTATTTTGACGAGTGCCTGATTTCACCACAATGCCTCAAATATTTATAAAATAATAAAAATAATATTTATGACCAGTCCCCTTAACCCTTTGAAAACTGGTGGTACGTAAAACTGCCCATATGCCAAGCCACTAGAACAGCGGTGAGAGAGAACCCATCGCCAACCTGGCCCACCAGAAACACAGCATGTACGGAAAAATAAAGTTTATAACACAAGACGTTATTGATTATTTAGTTTGAAGATCTTTCAGAATAAGATTAGATGCTGGTAATGACAAGGGCTACCCTGAGTGGGCTATGGAATGTGATTCTGACGATCATATGAATGTTAGTTATATATCGCTCAGGAGCTAAGGCAGAGGGGCATGGTAGCCTCAGTAGGTCAGGGCTCAAGCTGAGATCATATCTCCACAAAATTGCGCCAGCGGACAACCCAAATCCGTCCTGTCGAGCCTGCAAGGAGGAGGACAAAACTATGGACCATGTGTTCCTGAGATGTCCCGCCAGCTATCGTGCTAGAACCCGTCTGCTGGGACATTTCAGTAACCCACTTTCAGCACTTTTTAAGGACCCCCGGGCAAGTGTTGAGTTCTTGCGTGCTGTTGGCATCGCTGACCGTTTATGAAGCCACAGCGCCAGAAGAGAGAGAGAGAGAGAGAGAGAGAGAGAGAGAGAGAGAGAGAGAGAGAGAGAGAGAGAGAGAGAGAGAGAGAGATCGGTGGGAGAGGGGGAGCAGGCAGAGGATTAAAAAGATAAGTGAGACAGAGAGAGAGAGAGAGAGAGAGAGAGAGAGAGAGAGAGAGAGAGAGAGAGAGAGAGAGAGAGAGAGAGTGAACTATTTACAAAACATAAATCTGTCCCTAGATATGCAGAACTCCACCGTTGGCAATTTCCAAAAGGTTATTGTTGCTTAACTCTCAGACTAAATACTGGGACAGAGTATAAGATGAAGATGGAAACCTTTCTTTCCCCATTTCAGTTCAGAATACCATTACCTTGAGATTTAGTACAGGTGACGGAGAACATTTTTGGGGGTAAATTAAAAAAATAAAACCTTTTTTCCTGAGACCAGTTCAGTATCATAACCTCGAGATTAGGGAAAGATGGAGAATATGAAGAAAATGAAACTTTTCTTTCTCAAGTCCACTTCAGAATTCTATTATCTTGAGCATGAGATTGTGCAGAGATGGAGATTCAGAAGAAAACGAAATCTTTCTTTCCCGAAATCAATAATAATTATAATAATATTAACAAAGACCATTTCTATAGCGCCCACTTCCTGGTGGCCCCAGGCGCTGGACAATAAAATAAGATTTAAATCAACATTTCATGCATACAGGCCCATTCAACGTACAACCAATTCTGTCGTCCACACCTGTAATTCTGACAAAAAACACATGCCCAAAAAGACGATTACTGAGGCTACTGATCACACCAGTTGTAAAAAGAAGAAGAATCAAAGTAGTTAGTAAAATGAGAATTAAAAATAATTTATTCTTAAATCAGATTTAAATGTGGTCAAGGTAGGCCCACGTTTAAGTGCAGTGGGAGGGAATGCCACACTGAGGGAGCAACTGTCTAAAAAGCCCTACCTTATAGTCTTACAACCCTGAAATTAGGTTGAGATGGAGAAAAAATAAATAAATGAAACCCTTCTTTCCCCCTAAGTCCAGTTCAGAATTTCAAGATCTGTCATCCACACAAATTATTGTATTGCGTTTGTGGCTTTACCTTCATTGTGGCATGGTTGAGCATTTCCTGCCAGGTAGGATCCAAGTCTTGCTCTCGACGCTTGTAGCCCTCCTCTGCCAGTTGTACCATTTCCTTTGCTGCCTCGTGCATGCTACAGGCACGCTCAAATCTAAGTGCTGCCTTCTGGCTCTCCAGGTGGGCCTGGAAAGGAAAAACACAATGATAAATCGTCATCCACCTTGATCTTGAATCTTGAATCAAGTGGGTCTCCTTCCAAATATCTAATTTTCTTAATTAAGCTAAATATGTGAGATCGTGGAGAAATCAGGAACTCCTCATATCAATGAAATACATTTCAGCGTGGATTTTACTGAAAAACCTTGATCAAAGGCACAAAAAATGTAAATTTGCAGTTTCCAAGGACACTGCAGACTACAGCTTACTTTGAAAACCGTTTTCTCACTAACTTTACCCCTTAGTTTAGTTTTAGTAGAGGTTTTACGGTCTCGCAACTGCATAAGACTTTACTTCTTACATCAGGCTACTCCCACCTCCTTCAAATGGAAATACCGCAACTTCTTATCCAGATAGATGGATATTTTTTCCACAAAAGCAATGCAAATGAACAAGCTTTAAGATTACACAAATAACACCACATGCCTAAAACTCAATGAGCCCCTGATTCCACAGCGTATTGACACAAACGAGTTTAGTTTAGTTTTAGTAGAGGTTTTACAGCACTTGCAACTGCATAAGGTCATATGAGCGCCAGAAGAATAGAGGAGGTACAAGAGAGTAACAAACATAAAAAACAAGAAGGGGAGATAAGGACAATAGATCTTTGATAGGAAGGAAGAAGCAAACCACACCAGAGCACCCGCCAACCACCCACACAAATGTGTCGCATCAAGAGTTCTCTGACAGGACGGTATGAACACCCGTGGGATAGCGAGTCCATCTCAGGGGATTTTTTTGAAAAGTCACAACTTAGTCAACTTTTCGTTGAAATATAACCTGATCTTAACATCGAGGGGAGTTTGAGGGGACCTCTGATATCAAGCATGATCCACATACGGGAAACACATACACACACACACACACACACACACACACACACACACACACACAACCTTGAGAGACGTTATTGACGTGATGTGTAACATAAGACAGCTAAAACAAATCTCCCCAATTTTTAGTCTTTTTTAAAATAAAAGTTTTACGTCACTTGCAATACAAACAGGTCATATTATAAATGCTGAAGATTAAAGAAATTTCCGGAGAGTACAAAACAAAGAAAAGATAGATGAGAGCTAAAGATAATAGATGTTTGACAGGAAAGAAGGAGCAAAAAACACCAAAGCGCCCGCTGACCACCCATGCAAACCTCTTTCAGTCTCATCCTAGCCTCATAGTAGGGCCGGGCTTTATCCACACAGGTTCCAAGCTTTTTGGCCAACCCATTGAGTCTTTGGGTCGAGTCAGACAGGACTTGACGGAACGCTGCCCTAGCATCCTGTGGGAGAAAAAGGAGGAAGATGGAAGAGAATACTGAGGATTACCCTGAAACCGAACACGGTTAATTAAAAAACAATGGTAAGCCAAAAGCAGCAGTGTAAGCCCAAAGAAAATACTTTTCCGATCCAGCAGCCATCTGAGTTCTGGCCTTTCCGACTGGCCCAAAGAAAAGACAATCCCCATATTTTTTTTTTCGCTTCTATTTGAGCAAACCAAATTAAAAAAAAACACGGCTAAGCTCAAGAAAATGAGGTGATCTTGCAAATTTCCGTTTATGCGTACCCATTATGCTTCAGTGAAAGCACATCAACCGTGTCTGAGTAAAGAGAGGTCCATTAACTCCATCAGGGGAATTTAGTGCAGGGAACAGGCAAGACAGACAGGCGGAAACAACAAAGGGGAAGCAAGACAGACCAAGACAGACAGGCAGAAACGACAAAGGGGAAGCAAGACAGTTTAGTTTTAGTAGAGGGTTTTACGGCGCTCGCAACAAAATAAGGTCATATGAGTGCCAAGAGGTGGATGTCAACAGAGAAGTCTTTACAGGGAATCAGACTTACTCTGCTCACTTCTCTAGCTTCAACAGCACAAAGGCTGCTTCGACTATCAAGGCACCCTGGAAAAAGCGGGTCACAAGAGTGTGACAAACATACAAAAGAAGTAGAAGAAAATGACAATAGCAAGGATTAGGAAAGAAAAAGCAGCAGTTCCCTGTTTTAGTACAGGCACAGTTATGAGCATGACATGGTTGGATCAGCCCATTTACAATTCTACTGAGCACTAGAACAAGAAATGTCCCCCCTTTGGGAATGGCCTAAAGATACTTCAGTCAGCGGCACCGCCCCAGGGGTGTAAGAAGAAGAGGCAAGACAGACAGGCAGAAACACTAGAGGGGAAGCAAGACAGAGACAGAAACAACAGAGGGGAAGCAAGTAGACAAGCAGAAACAATAGAGGGGAAGCAAGTAGAGAAGCAGAAACAACAGAAGGGAAGCAAGACAGACAGGCAGAGGCAACAGAGGAGAAAAAAGTACTGTATCGCTTAACAGTGGCACCTTCTAACCGCCTGCACAGCAACCATAATGAAGAGCATTTTCACTGCCTACTACAAGACTACAACGTACGCCATCTTGAAAAGTGGTGTACAACAGAGTCTTACACAGAGCGATTGATTTAATTATGTATGGCTTAGATACACCTCTTCCAAATTACATCCTCTTTGCCGAGGGAGAAAGTTTAAGTATGAAGACGGTGTGATTCTGGGAACAGTAATCTAGCACTCTGTCCAAGATCAGAGTGTAATTAGCATGTATAATAGTTTGGCAAAAGTTACAGTCGAACCCGTGTAAGACGGCCACCCATTGTCAAGGAGGAAAGTGGCTGTATAAGACAGGTGGCCGTCTTAGGCAGGACTGATCAAGTTAAAGAAAACAAACCATTCCTTATCAAGGTCCCAACCGAAGGCAGCCGCATCGTTGTTGTTGTTTTTATTGTTGTTGTTGATGTTGTTGTTATTGTAGTTGTTATTTTTGTAGGGTTTTTTTTTTCTTTCGTTACAGCTTTTGTGCAAGGGTGACAAAATAACGAAATGTGTCAGACAAGGAGGACAGTGTGTTTTGTTGCAGTAAAACAAACACATGGGTCGCCACCACTTGGAGAACGAGCGACGCTTCTGTCACAAGTTCATGTTGACGTCCATTGGTACTTTGTTACAGACAGGGTAAACAGTGACCACTCATCTCACTTACGATTTATGTATGACGAGTTCTGGGCGAGGCTTATGGGTTATGAGGGATCACACGCTTACCTCACCAGCGGCTGAAAATTGTTTACCTATTGGTCAACAGTGGGAGGGGCCTAAGCAACATGATCAGTTGGAGGAACTACCTAACAACAATGACATGTGATTGGATAATGACGGCTCGCCCACAACGCCAGGGGCCAATGCATGATTTATGACAAAACGTAATGGAGTCACTATAGTGGCCGTCTAAGACAGGTGTTATTGCTTGGTATATAGGGGTTGTGTGTTAAAATAGGGTGGTTGCGGCCACGTTGGACAGGTGCCCGTTTTGCATAGTTAAATTATATAGAAAAAAAGGCAAGGGGGTAAATGGAAACTGGCCGTTTGTACAGGTGGCCGTCAGGGCAGGTTCGACTGTAGTTTCAATAAAATGGGCCTAATCCCGATAAAACACAAACATATCAAAGACTACCAAAATGAAAGTTCTGAAATGCTATGAATTGTCACCCTTCTACATGGCTGTGAATTCTGGACAATCACTAAAGCATGACATTAAAATAGAAGCAACAGAATTGTGGTTTCTTAGGAGGCTGTGATAAAAACAATCAGGAAAATACAAAAATGCAGTTTCTGACACACTCAAATAGACAAAGCCTTGTATCCTAGCTCTCACTGGTAACCTATTTGGAGGGCCTAAGCAGATGGGGGGCGGGGAAAGATCAGGATAGTTTTTTTAAAAAGAGCATAGGATTGATCGGAGATCTATCATCACAAATGTCTGACGCATATCTGGCACTTGATGATGATTATCGAGGTTAAAACATCAAGTGCCAGATATGCGTCAGACATTGGTGATGATTATCGAGGGTAAAACTGAAACTGTCTTGGACAGGTGGTCGTCTTAGGCAGGACTGATCAAAATAAAAAAAATAAAAAATCATTCCCTTCTGAGGTCCCAACTGGAGGAGATTGCAGGCTTTCAAGTGCCGTAAGGCCCTTATGTTTATTTTTGGAGGGAGAGCAGAAAGTGATGTTTCCTGACTGTTTTGAGTGTTAAATTGAATGAACTGCATCAGATGAAGAAGACAATGAGCAGTGTGTTAGGGTAAAAAAAAAAAAAAAATTAGATGTGTTCAATGAGAAAGACGAAGTGCTGCGGTAAAACAAACAGCGGGTCGCCACCACTCGGCCTTCTGTCCCTAGTTGATGTTGACTCCAAATTTTATTATTGACTAAGGTAAAACAAAGCGACTGCTCATTTTATTTATGATTTATGTTATTAGTTTTAGTAGAGGTTTTATGGTGATCGTAGATTTATAGCCACTGATTGTTTCTTGACGAGATAAGACATATATATATATAATATATATATAAGATAATGACAAGAATGCCTGCATTAGATGCCACAATTGTAGTAATGATCCATACAAAGATGTAATTACATAAAAATAAATCAGTGTATTTAAAGAATACCATGCCAAGACGCTTACCAAAAAAAATAAATCTTCAGAGCATGCAAAAGTACGACTACTACTTACATCAAGCTCTAGTTCCAAGCGATTAATTTCTTCACTGGCTTTATTCAGTTTTTCCAGTTCCACCTGAAATCGTCATCAAGAAAAGAAAGGTGACCAAAAACAGATTAATTTAACAAACAACAAGCATGAAATAGAACGGAGCTCTAAAATCAACAATACGTGCAGAAAGCAATTTAAACAAATTCTAATGCACAACGCAGCAAAAGATTACCTCCAGCTGTAGGCCACCTTTGACAAGAAGAAGGTTGAAAAGCTGGCATTTGAAAAGCTGGCATCTCAAAACCATTTAAAATAACCGAGAAGTGATTACTGATTTTTAATATTTAACTATTCTGTGTCCTGTTGATGTTACAATTAAGATCATTTCAGAGGCACGCTCCTTTGACTTTCTCTGCCTGTCTGGGCCAAGTGGGCTGAGTGCGAATATATATATATAATTACATCATTTCAGCAGAAAGACGGAGAGATATATTATACTCGAAAAGACCCCCACAAGTGGGAATCCCGTCTCATGTTTTTAAGCGTGCAATTGCAAAGAGAACACAGACTGTGGTACCCAAAGACGGGAGTGCACCTTGACAGGCTGCCATTGAAAGTAGGAAACCTCAAAGAACGATAAAATGACAAAGGCATTGTATGTACGCTGTTTTAGCTGTACAGCGCATAGAGTATGATAGAGCATGAGCATGCATGGAATGCACTTTATAGGCTTATAATATTTTTTATATTAATTTTAGGCCTCTATAGACTTTATCATGATGAGATACTCTCTGCCACACACTTTTAAATCTGGCTCTTTCATAATGTTCATGGTCATGTGAGCTAAACTCTATTGAATTGTATTGTGACATTTTGGGGGGGGGAAGCGTATTTAAAGCCCATGTATTAATTAAGATCACTATATAGTATATCATAGGCCTAAGAGTTCTAAAGGAGTTCCGGGAAGTTCTCACCTGTATCCTTGGATCCAATTCTTCATCTTCCCCTTGGTCCTCTCCTCCCGAGGGCATTCGGTGACGGCGCATGTGGTGATGGTGGTGGTGATGGTGAAGGTGTGAAAGGTGATGATGAGCATTCCCTGGTGGGGGAATGGAGTGGCTGTCTGCCATTATATCTTTCAACCTTTGCCTTTACACCATCTAGAATCCCCTTGCGCTGTTTGACAACTGTGTAGCACAGTGCGCTTTAAATTTAAAGCAATGTCAGCAGCTTCAATTTCATTGTCTTGAAAGTTGAGTACAGATCTGGAGGTCTGTTTCTGTAAAGAGCGTAGCCTGTACTAGTGTTGTGACCACTTCTGAACTTTGGCCGAAGCCTTGCCTTAGCTGTCAAAATCCATCGTCTAACAAGTGTTTAAAAGTAAGACTGGTTAACGGCTAACGGCGACAGGGATACGCCTGAGCCTGAGCTCTCGATTCTAACTTTTTTACGGAAATAGACCAGAGAGAAAGGAGGCCAATACTTTGACTCAGGTCCTTTTCTTTTTGAGTCGTGTAAGTGCAAGCCCTAAGTTACTAAGTAACGTGAGTCTGTTAGGTTTCTATTTTTATTATTTTAGTCAGTTGTTCACGAAATGGCTTCCCTTGAAACTGTCTGATCTTGCTTCTCCATCATAGGCCCTTCTCCATGGCATGTCCTGCCCTCAAAGAACATTCAGCTGCAACAAACGTTGCACATAAAGCGTTGATAATTTAGAAATAACGCGGGCCTCTTGATAGATCTTCGCATAGTTACTAGAGTCTTGATAGACTAGATCTAGATCTAAATTCTAGCCCCACAACGACAACCCTGGTTTTCAGATTATGTAGCCCAACAAGAACAACAATTTGGGGACAGCAGAAGCTTTACATGATTATCGAGTACTTTCTTCTTAAATAGAAATATAAAACTATAACCTCAAAAAATTCAGGAAGAAAAAGGTTGTTCGTGTAAATTGCCAGACCATTATGTTTGCAAGTAATATTAATTTCCCTAAAATTGCTTCGTTGACAATGACGAATAAAAAATCTGCGGTGAAGTAGTTTAAAAAAAAAAGTTCATGAGCAACCACTTCATTCAGCATCTTTGAATTGACCAAGCATAGAATAGCACGAGCTGGAGTACAGAGATTCCATGACATGATAATGATAATTAATACAGTATTATGTATTATAATGTACACTGTAGAATATTCAGTGTCTACTTCGTAATCTCTGGTTTGAACTGAAGGTAAGTAAATCTTCAAGGACAAGAGAAAAAAATTATTCCACTTCAGAAATGGCCTAGGCCTACTGTTTGGCACTTTTTTGCTTTGGCGAGAGTGGCATTTAGCTTTATATATATAGATCTATAGGGCTTAGCCTATCGACTTTTTTAGGCCGGGTGGTTGGGG